AGGCATCTTTGGTTTGCGTTAAAACAACTTTAACACACCACAAACCACCACAAACGCAGTAGTCATCCTTACCTTTCACAGAGGCACTGAGTTTTATAAATATGAACGTGATAGTGTAGAATAATCATATCCAAGGACCAGTGGTGGGTTTCAAAAAATTTTGGAACCTCTTCTGTAGGTGTGGCCTGCTTTCCGGATCCACTGTGGAACCTCTTCTAACCGGTTCGGTAGATTTGACGAATCGGTTCTACTGACTAGATGCGAACTGGTAGGAACCCACCTCTAAGTTGAGGTGAGAATGAGTGGAAGAAGGTGGGAAATTACAGGTAACACAAAAGAAGGGAGGACAATCCAGAGCAGATCTTTGACTTCCGTGCTGTGATAAAATGCCCTGGATACTACCAGAAATGATAGGCAGCTTTGCAAAGGAGCAAGACTACTAGAAGACCATACTGGGTAGGAAGAAAGGAGATAATATTCTCACACAAGTCATGGACATGATAAGCTCACAACTCCCGGTGCCAATAACACTGTACTGGATCTTGTCATATGGAATCCCTGCCTCTTGGAACACATACGAAGCGTAGAAGTACATCTGCAGAAATAAAAAAGAGCAAGTTTCACTGCATCCCTGCTCTACTGAGCCTCTATCTTTATTGCTATGTAAAGGAAGGGAGGTTAATCTGCTTATCTGAGATAGGAAACTCCTGAAAATGGTAACGTAAAGCATACAAAGCCATATCACAATTTAAGCAGCAAAGAAAATTCTCCCAACTCTCTCTGAAACTCAACTCAAAAAATGATGACAGAGGATGCCAACTGCCACACATTTTAGTATGCTGCTTGGATTGTGCAAGGAGAAGCCGCCTATTCCATGTCAACCCCTTCTCAGTTCCCAGGCCTATTAGTAAAAGGCCATGCAGCATAGCAGCAGGCACCCCCTGGCCAGGCCGCTGGACTTACAGAATCATTGCCACAGAGCTGCATGGCGCTGCTGAGCACCACCACAGTGATAAACTGCCACCGCACAGCCCGGTTTCTCCATAGCTCCCAGGGTGCCTTGGTTGTCTCTCCTTGGAGGGCTGCCTGCTCGGCCAGGAGTTCTTTCATCTCGCTGCTCAGGTCACTGCTGCCCCTCAGTTGCTGCAGAGCTGCAAGAAGCCAAAAGTGAGCCTGACATTCTTAGGAAATGCAGAGGCCTCTGATTCATGGGTTGCCTTAGAACTTCTCATAATGTTCCAACCCCCTTTGAGAAAAGCAGAACATGTGCAACGACCGCACAGCATCTCATGGCAGAAACATCAGCAGCTAAGTAGGATTTGAATGTCTGGGCCACTGATTTCCACTGTTTACTAAGGTGGCCAGATTTTAACATTGGTAAAGAGGGACACCATTGACCGGGGGGGGGGGGGGGGTATTAAAAAAAATTTTTTTTCACTTAAAAAATGTGGCAAGAAAAATTGTAAAATGGGGCAAAACTCAATAAATTTCTCACTTAACAACATAAATTTTGGGCTCAATTGTGGTCGTGCATTGAGAACTACCTGCACTTATCTTCAGTGTTATTAAATTTTTAATATTTTCCTATTAAATATACAGTACTGAGATTCCCAGGTGGGTTCTCCTCCAATTATTAGCCAGGTTCAACCCTGCTCATGTAGGGTTACATCCCTACAAATTGAAAGCTCTCTTCCTCCTTCTCTCTCTATCTCTCTCCCCTCCCTTCCTCTCTCTCTGTCACTCTGTGTGTATGTGTGTGTGTGTGTGTCTGTCTGTCTCTCATTTACTCATTCACTTAATCACTCACCCTGTGTGTCTCTCTCTGTCTCTCTCCCTCCCTCTCTCTCTGTCACTCTGTGTGTATGTGTGTGTGTGTGTGTCTGTCTGTCTCTCATTTACTCATTCACTTAATCACTCACCCTGTGTGTCTCTCTCTGTCTCTCTCCCTCCCTCTCTCTCTATCTCTCTATCTCTCTCCCCTCCCTTCCTCTCTCTCTGTCACTCTGTGTGTATGTGTGTGTGTGTGTGTCTGTCTGTCTCTCATTTACTCATTCACTTAATCACTCACCCTGT